GGGGGGGAGGGGCAGAATAATGGGCAATTTAGCTCAGTGTTTCTCAACCCATGGGATATGACCCAAAAGTGGGTTGCAAGCATGTATGAAAGGGTCATGGACAAACTTTGAAAATAGATCAACAAATTTTAAAAATGGATTCTCCTTTAAATCTTAAAAAAATCCTCCCCATACACAAAGGGGTTGGGACCTGGGGTCAGGGGGACAGTGGGCTGAGACAGAGGGACGCTGGGTTGGGACTGGCTATCGATGTTTACAAATAGGTCTTGGTACAAAAAAGGTTGAGGACCACTGGTTTAGCTTATGAAAGGAATTTAGTTGTACCAAAGAAAGAAAATGATTCTCTGCATTCACAAAGTGGTAATTGTTTTGAAGACTATATACTGACTTAACAGCATAACACATGAGTATTGGAAAGCAGTAAGATTTGGCTACACCAGTGGTTCTCAACCTTTTTAGACTCAAAGCACACCTTGGAATGCGTTGGCTCTTAGTTTTCACTCTTTTTTTAATTACAGAAAAAAATAGAGTAGTTTTTCTGTTCCAAAAAAATCCCTAAGCCCCTCAGAAATACCATAATTATGGATTTTTATTTAAAATCTCTGGGTTTATTTTGTGAATAATATTTGCAAACCTAATAGTGCTAACACTGTGTGGCACCTTGTGGCATCCTTGAAAAGATCTCAAAGCACCCCAGGGTGCTGTGGCACTCCAGTTGAGAATTTCTGGGCTACAATGAATACCATCTTACTGGCTTTCAGTACTAAAGCTTTGAAACAAGACATATTAAAAAAAATGAGGTTTCTTTTCTAAGTCATATTTCCATAGTACATATGTTGGCTTATAAAAAAATACTTGTGCTGGAACTGGAACACTGAAGCCTCCTCCCGTGATGAACAGAACTACAGAATGAAGGTGAGGCTTATAGGACTTAGGGCCAAACAAAGGTAGAAAGGATGGTTCAGTGAAAAGTTAATTGTGTAATAAAAGGCACTGCACTGAGACACAGCTTGGTTTTTAATTTCAGTACTACCACAGATATCATGAATTATTGTAACAAGACACTTGGAGTCAGAGTTTTAAAACTGCTCAGTACCCTCAAATGGATCTAGGTTTTTAAAATGAGCTCAGTTACATTTTAGACACCTAAATGAAGTGGCTGGAGTTTTAAAAGATTTCAGCATTCAATATCTTCCAGTGTACTACAGTAGGGCCCAACCAAGATCAACATCCCATTGTAGGGGGCATTGTACAGATATGTAGAAAGATGCAGTTCCAACACTGATTAAAATCTTTCATATGCAATAGCTGTTTTTGTAGTTTTCTAAAATGCTCACATATTGCAACTCTTTGATGTGGTTAGTCATTGAGAAATATGGGGTTCTAAAATATTGCTTTAAAAATATTCCTTTAAAAAAAAGAAAAAGAAAAACTTCTAAAAGATGCCATCAGTAATGACTACAAGAGCATGAATCATGATGGATTAAATAAGTGATCAAAAGTACAGTCACTAGAGGGTGACAGGAGCTCATGCATATGAACACAACTTCCCTTCTTACCTCCATTTCGAATTTCTGCCTCAATCAACTCCTGTTTCAGCCCTTCAATTTCCTTCTTCAGTTTTGCATTTTCGACGCGAAGTTTCTTCTCTTCTCGGAGAGATGCCTGCAAGACTGGAATTGACACATTTATGTTGGAAACTGTAAGCTTCAATCATTAAAATTTACCACTTAAAAAATGATGTCTACTTTCTGAAAAAATAATCTTGAGTTCACAAAGGGCAGTTTAGGATGGCAGAGTATCATTTTAAAATATTGACTTCAAAGTTACTATTAAAAAGTTCATAAACATGTTTCATTATAATTACTGAACAACATTTTTGTTAACAAAAATAAGTAGTGGTGTCTCAAATATCCATTTTTATATCATTTGAATAGACTTACATCTAATAAAAAACCCCAGTATTGTGAAACCTGAAAACTCAGTATTTGGAACTCAATGTCACAATTATTTAATTTTTGGAGTACCCAAAGCAAATTAACTGTTGTCTAACACATTCCAAAACTGGATTTTGGATTTTAAAAATTACACATGGCTTAATAAGATCAAAAGATGGGCAAAGAGCAATCATGACAACTCTAAACACCTTACTGCTGCCCTGAAGGAAAGGATGGTAGACTTCTATTCCACTGGCGAAATAAGATGATCTGTGTTTGGTTCCAAGTACTCCCTCAGATCTCTTTTTTGTTTTGGGCAAGTCAATTTACTGTGTAGAAACTAAGGCAATGGTGGTGCCAAGAGGCTCACTGTGATGTACTCAAGAAATTAAAGCAATAAGCACCACAGAAAAGCCAATAAAGAAATACAAACAGATTTGTTTCACATGTGCAGTTTGGCATCAGTTTTAAGAAAACTTTTATTTTGTTGACCTGGGGTACTCTTGGGAATAAAATTTGAGAGTAAGTGGTAAGGGCTTCATTCCTTGTATATTACATTTTCTCTTGTGATTTGGTTAAGCTAACTCATTTAAACACTGTTGATATTGTCATAATTTGTCTTGAGGAGCAAAATCTGGTGATAAAGGGCTGAATCGTTTCATCTTTAGAACACACTTGTTTCTTACTAGGTGAAAAGGTTGGGATGGAAGAAAGATGACAGAGCTTCAGTGGAAGCTGTAGGAGGGAGAATTCTCAACGCATTACCTCTGGGTTCTGCAGAACGTGTTGAAAGCTTTGATCATTTGAAAATTTATTAAGTAAAACATGTCAGATTCAATGCCAAAAGAAAATCCTTGGGAGCTGAGAAGATATGAGGCTTTAGTCCAAACTCATTTATTAACAATGTTAGGAACTTTCAGTTTAAACTATATAAAAATGTGGCAGATGCACACTATTACATAATATACACAACTGGGCTGCAGAAAAACCCAAAAGATCCAATTAAGATTAGGAAGTTACAATTTTTGGAGACTGTATGGGATAGGAATAGGAACAGACTAGGAAGAGAAGACAGAAGGTTTGACAAATGAGGGGAAAATAATTAGGAAGAACACTGGGAAGAGCTGAGTCATGAAATTATATGGTTTGTTTTGAATCACTGATCTGATTTTGTTTTGAGGTTACTGCTTTTTTTGCCTATGATCCAATAATCAGTCGTCCAATTTTTAATATGTATCAGAGAAAAAGTAGCTTGTGGGGAGGATTCCGAAGATGTCAATTTACAAAATATTTTAGGAAGGATGTTCCACACATCACAGGTGATACCAAAGAACCCACAAAAACTTCTATGCGGAACAGACTAGAGACTGACTTTATTTGTTGGGCAAGTTGGCTCTTGGGACAGGGGTGGGCAATTCGGTAAAAGACAAGAACAGATGGACACATTCAAGCCTCTTGGCCTCATGAACTAAGATCCTGATAAAGCAGGTAGCCAATGGAGAGATTCAAAGAGGTCAGGGTGGCCATTCAGTTAAAGAGCTTGATGAGGAGGATGATCTAACTAGATGCATTTTGCATGCATTGGTTGAACAAAGATGGATGAAGCAATTAAAGTAATCAAGATGTGTCTGGAAAAAGTTTTAACACCACGGATTTTTTTTTTTTTTAAGTGCGACAGAGAACGAATTAAAGCACACGAACCAAAACACTAGAAAGGATGTATTCTTGTCATCAGAAAAAGGGAAGTGGGCACCACTTCAGAGGAAAACTAAGGGAGCAACTGAGTTTTGCTTTGTAAAAGAAAAAGGCTTTAACAGGAAATGGAGAAAGAAATGTTAGTGTCCAGCTAGGAACTTGACTGTAATTCTAATAAAGAAAGATGGAAAAAAGAAGGGTCTTCAACTCTGTGATATTGGCTAGACTGATTTTTAGGGAAGCTTTTTAAAGAGCTGAATCTATCTCTTTATAAAGATTTGGAAGTAAGTTTTTGAGAGCTGAGCACTCACTAACTTGATCAAAGCCATCATGGCTTTGAGATGGATACATACAAGGACATTTCGGTTGGATATTAAAAAGAACTTTCTATGTGGGTGGTTAAGCATCGGAGCAAATTATGTAAAGAGGTTGTAGAGTCCATATAATTGAACAGTTTTCAGAATAGGTTTAAGAAATATATTTCTAAGTTGGTTTAAACAGGGGTGATCCCTTGAGCAGGTAGTTTGACTAGATGGCCTCTGTTAGTCCCATCCAGACCTATTTTTCTATGATTCTATGCAAGAAAATACAGGAAGAATTGTTTACTAACAATTAACAATAATTTTAACATGTTGAGAACAGAAGCTGACTATCTCTTTGTAAAGATTTGGAGGTAAGTTTTTGAGAGCTGAGTGTTCACTTCATGAATGGCTTTGAGATGGATACATACAAAAGAAACTGTTAGGATTCTTTTTGTTCCCACACATAAATATATATGTGCAGAACAAAAAGAATCTGAACAACGATAATGTAGAAATGTTAGAATTGTCAAAAAGCAACATAAAAAACAGAAATATTCACTGAATATTTATGTTGGCTATTTGAGAAAAGCCAGACAATCTTGCCATATCCCTGGATAGTGGTGAAACACTTTCCATCCCAACAACAATTCAGGAGAATGTCAAAAG